ATAAACAGATGATAAATGTACTAAAGCTTCCATAAAAACATAAATTCTAAAGGTTGTATTTGTGAGCAAGAGATGGTGGCCCACAGGAGTTCATCAACCGAAAGGAGAGTCTGAGGGTACAATGGGACTCTAGCATAAAAACAAGCAACAAAAGCCAGGCTGTGACATACATACAATCCCAGCTCTCGGGAGGGAGAGGAAGGAGGATCAGTAGTTCAAGACCACCCTCTACTGCTTAGTTCACAACCAGATGTGCTCCAGGAGACACTGTCTCAAAAAGACAAAATTAAAAATATAAGTCATAATTCCATAAGTTGATTTTGCCAGCAGATTATAGCTACTAAAAAAAAGGAACCTAACAATGTCAATTACTTTGGATCCTTCAGATCTTCTCATGCCCTAGTCTCAAGGATTCCTATAAATAAAAGACTCACAATGTGTTACAGGTATTAAAATCATGGCAAGAATGAAATGTTGAAGCTCCATGAGAAATATTATAGTCGTTATTACTAAACTACAATCAAAATAACACAAATGAAGAAACTTAGCTTCAGATTTGTGAAGGGTAAGGAGAAATCCTACAGGTCACCATCTGAGACCTCTACCCCTATGGCGTCGGGGGAAGATGGGCAGCAGTGAAAGCGGGGTGATCGCAGAATTTTAGACCCTGAGATCCACAGCAAAAAATAAGAGAACCAGGCAAACAATGAAGCTGAATTTCTGAATCAGGATTTTACAGGAGGCTACCCAACACAGGGTCTACCACCACCCAGTCCTTCCTCAAGAGTCTAATATGCATCTAACACACATCTACCACATTAAGGTCCTTATTCCTGTTCACTTCCAGTTCATAACTCAATAAATGTAATCATAATCAGATGTCAATAAACATAAACAAAAAAGCAGAAGTCTACAGCAGCGCTGGTTTCTAAATTATGAAGCCTAGAGCAGTAAATGTATTTTATGTCAGGTGTATGTTCCACAAAAATCATAATTGTTGGGACCGTTTGGAGCCCTGGCCTCCAGCTGCTCTCCCCCGTTAGTGACCTTTACTTGGCCTTCTGATTTGAGCTTCTGAAAGCTGTGTCCAGCTCTGCTTCCTGAGCACGTGTTGCCTTTTCCTTGATTGAGGATCAGGAGGATCAGGAGATGAGGTTTTCACCTGCTGGTGTTGGGTAAATAAGCCTCCATGGTACTATTCAATAAAGGGCTTCTTTACCAGTGACTAGAGGTGTATGTCTCTGTCTGTGCTGTCTGTATGTGTCTTTGTGTGTTTCAATCTCCTGCCCCTTGCCCGAGGCTCACGAATGGTCCTGTAGTGCAGGCACCGCAATACAGGAGTAGTACCATACAGTCACGTGGTACAGGCGGGCGCTATACATGATACCTGTAATTATAACAGGAGAAGCCGCTAATCCAGGTGCACATCATCTCAAATCCAGTAATGCATGGTGGGGGGACCCTTCAAGCCTTAGGCAGGAAATGATCAGGGTGAGATTAAGAACGAAACTCAGGTCAGTACGACTTTAGTCAGTGCTGGGTTAAAGCTTCTGAAGTCTTATCAGTTTATTTTTCCTACACATTTAAACACAGAAAAACTTTGGGGGAAGTTTCCACGGGACAAATATCACAACAAAACTTTTGAGTTGGTTGCATCAAAATTCCCTTGCAAAGTGCATCTCTTCAACAAAGCACCCGTGACCATTACCGTAAGAATGCGTTCTGTTGGCATAAACAGCGCTCGTGGTAAGGGTCTGGGGCGGAGGGTTTGTACCTAGCGGGAAGATGGGTTCTACTGACTGAGAGGATTGCTGAGGGGATTGTGGAATCTGGAATCGGGTGAAGGCTGACTCTGTAGGATAGCAAAGGATCACCAGGTTTGAACAACACCCACTCCAGTTTTTGGGGTGAACAGACATCATTTCCCTCCTTTGAAGGAAAAAGCCTGCATGTTTCCCAATTCTGGTTTCCAGTGCTTTCTACAGGCCGTGCATCACTATGGTACTGTTCCACGGCTAAAAGGAGCAGAGTAAAGAATTATTTGAAATTTAACTGAACACTTCACTACTCTAGATTCAACCAACAGGTTAAAAACATAGAGGGAGCCTGTCTCAAATTCTGTGCATGCTACATTCTGTTTTAAACTTAAGGGGGGGGGGGGGGCACAGGAAATAAAAATATTGCCAAGGACTTTTATTTTGAGAAGGAAGTAGCAAGATTAAAGACTTGTCCCAGGATAACACTAAAGAGGAAAAAGCTTTGTAATTTATGTAAGGACACTTTGAAAATGTCAGTCTCTACGGAACTTCCTTTCATAACCATTCAATTATTAGTCGGTACACAGCTTAATGAAGCTACTCAGCTAACAAAATATCCCTGGTTCCTTCCCAGAGTCTAATAAACAGAAGCTAACATATGGATTACATGTTTAAAATGTTTATTAGGTCAATATTTGATTTAAAAACTGGGCATTCACTTAAACTTCTAACTCTTGCAGCTTTTTTCTCTTTCTCAGTCTCCCTTTTGGACTCTCAAGAGGGAGTCCGCACTGACGACTATGATCAGGTCTTATCTAGTGGAGGTGTCTGTGTGGAGATCACACAGAGGGAGATCCCTACTAACCTACACAGAGACACGGCTGGACACCCTGGATTCTAGTCACCATAAAACACAGTCTCAGAGGATACCTGGTACCAAGGACAAACTCAGTTTTTAATATCATGGTAAATAAACATAACCAGAGTGCCAGGTTTGCCACATTAGCCTATAAATTTGTGCAATACCAGAGAAGGAAATACTTCCAAAAATGATGGTAGAGGTGAATATATAAAAAGAGCATAGCATCAAATCTTGCATCAAAAGCAGGGACAATTTGAGCAGCAAATCAAATAGGGATAATAGTGGATTACGGCCCAACATACAAAATAAAATTCCGTAAGTCAGCACTGACACAAAGAGCTAAGTGAAGGAAAGGCACAGCTAGCTGCCCCTTCGAGAAAAAAAAAAAAATTAGAAATACAGGCATGAAACTCCTTTTAAAATGTATCAAGAAAACAACTGTAACGTACAATATGTTCTACAACTATACGCCAAAATCACTGAGAAGTCCAGAATGAAACAGAATATACAGTTCACGTGTGTCTCCGAAGGCAGACCTTATTTACAAAGGGAAAAGTGAAACCCTTCACCAAAGTGACTGTCATCAGTAAGATGCACCTGTCACTCATACCGCAGGATGCTCACAGAATGTACTTAGGCATGCACTTTACTTTTATGATGTTGCTCTTCCCCAAAACAGAGTGCCAACCCAGTCATGAGAAAGTATCACACACAAAGGAGGTGCAATGTACATATTAATGGACTAGTATTTTTTCTGGTGTCAAGATCATGAAGAAATTAAGGCTTGCTTTATATACTGGAACTGGTGTGTGTGTGTATACACATATATATCAGTAGAAACTAAATATATAGCAGTCTGCTATAATGTGGCAAACTCAGATGATCCTAGATGACAGGGATGAATGGCCAGAGAAAGGGAGACAGAGTACGCAATGACCAGCATACAGTACTGTACTAACGTTAAATGACGAGTCCCATCAGCAGGCTGCTCTGGACTAGACTGTTGTATTGTTATTGCAACTTTAGTAAGTCGACAAATGTTTCAAAATTAAGACAAATAAGAAAATGAACAACATTCTGCAATGACTGCATTGAAAGGAAAATCTTTTTTCTTGAAAGCATAATCTCTGAGCTTGAAGATATTTTAAATTTGAATCTGTACAAAATCAGTCAAGGTTGTATTTTTGCAAAGTACTGTTTTACAAATATATATATATACACACACACACACACACACACACACACACACACACACACGCAAAACCATTTCCTGAAGCTTCAGCATCTGATTAGCTAAAGCTGAGATGATGTCATGAGCCCCTCCTGGAATCCAACCAATGTTCAGGGAAAACCTCTGACCCAGACAGGGAGAGGAAACCTGGCAGCTCATCGCAGCCCTTTTCACTCTCACAGTAAAGAATAAAGAAAGGAAAGGCAACTGTTTCTGTTGTTGAAACCTCAAGCCACTTGAATAATCTCTTAGAGTAAAGCAGCTATGAAGGGGAAGTTTTTATCGCTCTGGGGGATAATTACTTTTTCCACCACAGGTGACCAAGATTGAGCACACGTCCCGGAGGAAGGGAGATCTGTATCTATAGCTGGAAACCAAGACACAATGACTTGTTTATAGATTTAGGGAAATCAACTAAGTGGCCAAAAAGTGTCTCTATTGGAATGGATCCACCGCCTAAGGAGGCCACTTATTCGGTGTGTAAGTCAGCACCACACGTGCCAAATAAATTCTACTTTTAGTTTAGGTTTGAGGGTCACAACAAGTGACGCTGCTAGGTTTCAACTAAAAGCAGCCTGCCGCTCTGTCATTTCTGAAGTGCATATTTTACTTGGAATATTTATCATAGGTGGTAATTGGACATATAAGATAGGTGGCTTCTCTTTTACTACACTCTCACAAAATGAACATTGCTGTAACTGCGTTAGAGACAGGCCCATACACCAGGGAACTCTGCAGTGGACTGCAGCTTTGGCATCCAATAACTCAGCTGTGTTCTATATACTCAGTCATCAGCCTTGATTTCAGCCATCCAATCCATAGTAGGCTGTCACCTGTACTTCAAACAGGTTATCGTCATACTTCCCTTAGCCTCTCTTGGGTTGGATAGGTAAGCTCGCAGAATGCAGGGAGACATTTAAGTTAAACAGACTTTAACAAAAGACACTGATGGCAGCGCAGGTAGTGTTTATCTACAAACCTGGGAGGCAGAGGACTAACAGAGGGACTGAAAGTTCAAGGCCAGCCTGGTCTACAAATAGCAAGCAGGCAAACAACAGCAACAAAGTGAGACCCCGGCTCAAAAAGCACAAAATAAAACAAAAGGATAGTTGTCATAAAGGACAAGATGAACGACAAGAAAAATACCTACTCTCAGAGATGTCAGTCAGGGTCCTCAGCGAGCCGGCTTCTAGCTTTGATCCCGCAGAGCTAAGAGGGCCCCTTCCCCGAGGGTCAGGGCTTTCACCTGGTAACTGAAGCTTTCTGTTCAGCAATTCCTGCTTAACAAGTTTTATAGAGCTGAACCACCAACCCCTTCCTCCCTTTCCAGAGGTTCACAGGTGGAGCTAAAGGTCCTCACTCCTCATCACTAGGCCTTTCTGAGGTCAATCCCGTCCAAAGGCTGCCGAGGAGCCCCACCCTAGGCCACATCACTCACGTAAACTGCAGTGTAGACAAACTAGCCACTCTGGTTGGGGCTGGGGGTGTAACTCAGAGATGAATCATTACGCACAGCAAAAGACAGAAAATCTCAAAAAGATACTAAGAATTCCTAGAGGTCTCTGATCAAGATGGGGCAAGGATCAAATAAATATTTTTTATCATAGTAACAACATTTCCCATGTTATGTAACAGGAGTCAAGGGTAAGAGAGATTATAAATCTAACTCAGACCACAGGTTCGCAAAACTAAGAGCAGGGTCTCTTAAACTTCCCTACCACTGAGGGCACACTCTGAAATAATGGGGAACTCTTACTTCCTTGGTTTCTACTCTTCCTGTAACTGCATTCTTTCTGTGTGTAAAAGAATAACTTTTAGAAACAAACTGTTAGTGATTAAAAGCAAGAGGCTGAAAGTACAAATAAATTTTACAGCAAAAAGCCAACCTAAGTTAACTTCTATCAATGTACCAATGTAATGCCCCTAGAGCTGTGTTATATAGAATGGTACCACGAACTATGAGTGACTTGAAATGTGGATAACGTGAACTAAAATATGCTGTACATGATATAAGACATACAGCAGATTGTAATCAGTACAGAAAAGCTATGTTTCATATTGACTGCAATTTTAAATTAAATTTAATATAGTATTTTATACACTGTGATTTACAGATAAACACAATATTTTACAGTTTCTAAACATCATGCTGTCTCCTTTGAGCATCACAACTATGAGCTTAACTTAGCAAGAGAGAATATGAGCTGCTGGTCTGCCAGAATTGGGTCCCTAGCACTTGAACCTCTTCCCAGGTCGTGCGTGACTCCATTTGTTTAATACTTACATAGTATAAAAGCTTACACAACTACCTCATTTAGCACTGACAGGTCAGACAAAAGTACTAAATGTCCACAGCCCAGCGAACTACTTTCCTGAAACTTCAACTGACCCATACAGGAACCCATTCAGGGTCCCTTAAGTAAAATATGGATCATCCTAGCGCCTGGGCTCGCTGGCCTCAAGAAGCAACTTATTTAATGGGAGAAAAGGAACGGCATAGTTTATAGACCCACGTTCAGTCTGTCTCCCCATCAACTCATACAGTCTCCTCTCCCTACGTGCCTTTACAGTGAGCTACTAAGGACCTGCAGGATCTATAGAAAATATCCATTCCTGGACCACGGAGATAGCTCCGTCAGTAGAGTACTTGTCAGCATTCAGATCTGCCTTGTAATTCCAGTGCTGGGGAGGCAGCAACAGGCGGGGAATGGGTATCCCTGGTGCCAATTGATAAGGCAGCCAAGCCTACTGGGTGAGCTTGAGACTACTGAGAGAGCCTCATGGAAACACAAGGAGACGTGGGTGGCCTCCGAAAGGACACCTGAGATTATCCTCTGCCCTCCCCCACACAGGTCAGGCTGAGGGTGGGAAAAGGATGGAGGGAAAAGAATGGGAGGAGAAACAGTAAGATAAGGAGCGAGAGGGACGGACTGGTGAACACTGATAAAAGTGTAGTCGTCTTTTTCTCCTGCAACTCTCGTTAAAATGCCCGCTCAGCCGCTTGAGCGTAGGCAGGGGTGGTGTGCAGCGCACTTGCACACAGGAAGCCTCTAGGGCACACTGAAGTGCACTCCTTCTAATCATCCCAAGGCTAGGATGTTAAGTCAAACTAGTGGAACGGCTCACGGAAGGTGAAATGTTTTCTTCTTCCTTTAAGATAACTCTGCTGTCCCTTACTTTCCATTCCTCCTCGTCTCCAGCCTACAGTGTAGTCATGGTGGGCAAGGAAGCACCATGTGTTAAGGACAGCTTAGGTTCACCGAGCCCTTGGGGAGTCTTCCTCTTTCTGTAAGACATTCAGCTAGAATCCCTTCAGAGAGAAGTCACAAAGGTTGTTTCTTTCTAAAAATTTAATTTTTCACCTGTAGGATAACTCGAAGAATATAGGACAGTTTAATTACCTGATGTTACCTAAAACTAATTCCTAGCCATATCCCCAGGCTCAGATCCAGAGGGTCAATCCATGTTCTATGGGGTCTCTAAATCTTGCCAAGATTGCATTTGCCCTTCCTGAGAAAATGAACATACTCGCTGAGATTAATTATTACTGGACCAGGAGAAATAATTTTGGTCTATCCATATCTACTCATATCCATTTTAATTTTTTTTTATTTTTGATATGGGGGGGGGAGGATAGGGTTTCTCTGTGTAACAGCCCTAGCTGTCCTGGAACTCACTTTGTAGACCAGGCTGGCCTAGAACTCATAGAAATCTGACTCTGCCTAAACGTGTCACCACCGCTCGGCTCCTTTATTACCACTCTTGAATATCATTCCCTAACTATGTCTTTTGTCTTAATATGGAAATTAACTATGAGCTCAAAATCTGATATTCTCGCAGCTTCCCTGCGATTGGAGAATGGCTGAAAAGCAAAGACTCAGATATCCACAAAAACTTTCGCACCTATTTAGTACCTATTGCAATAAGTTGGTTATTTTTTTAAAGTTAATTATTAAAAATCAAGAGCTTGGTGTGACAGCGCCCGGTAATAGTTCTCTGCTGAGGCGGGAGAATTATATGACCTCAAGTTCCCAGCCAACCTGAGAAAGACAGAAAAAACCCTACCCTGAAAAAAATAAAAAGAGAAAACTGAAGAGTAATCGGAATGCATTCCATACACATATGAAACTGCCAAAGAGCAAAATGTAAAGCAAAGGCAAAAAAAAAAAATAGCAATAAAAGACTTAACTAGTCATAGAAACATCCGAAAGGGAGCCCAGTATCAAGACACCTAAAACTGACAAAACTTAGGTTCCGGGGGTGGGATTAGCAACAAGCTGTTCAGTCCCCTTGAAAACTTCCCCACTTGTGGTACTGACTCTCACTCCTCAAGTTTACTCCTTCCATCCAAGACCAATGATCGTCTTCAAACAGTGGGAGCACACAGGGGTTGGACTTTCTCCTCCCGCCCGCTACCGCAGCCCCACTATCACCGCACCGCACAAGTGTCTGGCGAAATGACCGAACCAGTTCGGATTCCCTGCTCACTTCCACACACACACACACACCCCACGCTCGCCCGGTCCCCTCGCCCGGCTCCCCGGCACGCGGCTCACCTCGCTGTCCCGGGTGGAGCCGCAGCCCCGCCGCCCAGATCCGCTCGCCCGCCCGCCCGCACGCACGCAGACCTGCACACCGCCGCCCGCCTGGCGCGTCTGCTCGCCGTCCGCGGGCGCCCCAGGCTCCGCCGCCGTGACGTCAGCTTGCGCCGCCCGGCCGAGCGCGCGCAGGAGAAGCCGGTCCCACCGGCCGGATGTTCACACATGGGCAGGGGGCTTCGTGGGCTACGGAGGCGGGGAGCCGGGGTCAAGGCCCGGGCGAGCCATTGCCCTGGGGTCAGAGGCCTCGAATGAAATACTACTCTTAGTTCCTTCGCCCATATGAATTTGAGGAACTACAAGATACTGAGGATGCAGTTTAGGCGAATTACTGTAATGGTAGCAGGCTGGACTTGGTGTGGACTTTCTGGGGATTTATGGAGATAGGGTAGATGGCTCCCCTGATGAGAGGAAGGGTCTCGCTCCTAAAGATACCTGATTCCTTTCTTGTTTGAGAACCTTATCAGGCAACTGGCAAGAATGGAAGGATCCTATGCCAGAAGATGGGAGCTACTCTTAGGTCGATGTACAATGCCTTAGAAAAAAAGACAGATAAACTAGAAGACGCCAAATTCATCTCTCATGACGGTGAAACTTCTACATACAGGCGATCCTGAAAGGGGCACCAGCTATGGTTTCAGTCTTAGAGTTTGTATTGCGTTGAAACGCCATGTCCAAAAGCATCTTGGGGAGACTCCATACTGCAGTCAATCTTTGAAAGCAATCAGTGTAGGAACTCAAACAGGACAAGAATGTGGAGGCAGGAGCTGATGCAGAAGCCACAAAGGGGGGCTGCTTACTGACTTGCTCAGCTTGTTTTTAGAACCCAGGACCACCAACCCAGGGGTGGCCCCACCTGCAAAGAGCTGGGCCCTCCAATCAATCACTAATTAAAGAAAAAAAAAATGTTCTACAGGCTTCCCTACAGCCAGATCTTCTGGAGGCCTTTTCCCAACTGAGACTTTGCCCTCTCAGATGACTGTAGTTTTGTGTCAAGTTGAAAAAAAAAAATAGCCCGAACAGTTGATTCACTGTAAATTTAACACACCAAAACAACACTATTTAACAATAACCTTTCTTTTTACTTCCCCAATATCTCATATTAATAAATATGACAATATAAAACTCATTACAAACTTCAAAATCAGGCAGAATCTACAAATTCAAACAATTTATTTTTTTTTTTAATTCAGAGTCTCTAACTGTGGGCTCCTATAGAGTCAATCCTTTCTTACTCCAAAAAGAAAGAACCAGGCACAGTCACAATCAGATCAAAACAAAACCAAAGTCCAACCACGTAAGGCTCAGTGCCAGACTTCTGGATTCACGTGAGAATCGTGCATGACCTTCTGGGTTTGTCTAAACGGCTTGTAATAGCACACACAGCTGTTCTCATGGCCTCAGGTCTTCTCCACTCTAGGGCTACTGCTGTCTTTCCGCCTCATCCCACAGTACTGGTGTCTCCAGAATGCTGGGGTCTTCAGCTGCAACAGGGCTTTCACCAATAGCTTCTCCCACGCTCTCTTCTTCCCAAACTCCACCACAGACACACGGAGCCTAGCCTCAGCTGCCTTTTCAGGCTTTCAAAATCAGTACCAGCTGGTAACATGTCAACTACCAAATTCTGCTGTCCGCCCTGGGTACAACCTTGGCTGCCTCTGGAACACAGCTTCTGTGTTCTAGAGTGGGGAAACACTTCCAGTAGATTTCAGCTGAGGATGCTGGTCTCTTCTTAATCACCT